ATCCGGACCTGAAAAGAGGTTCGCTGTGGACGGCTGGCTTTTCCTTCTCCTTCACGCGCCTTGGCTGGGACCGTCGGCTTCTTCTGGCCCCCTTATTTCTCCTCGAGGGGGGAGAAGCCGGCTTTCGAGCTCTCTTTTTCCCCGCCGTGGGGCGCGAACAGCAGCTGTCGGGGCGCGGAGGACGCGCCTGCTGGAGGAGAAGGTGAGCGAAGCTGCGGGAGAAGGGAATTGCCCCGGCGTCTGCAAACTGCTGCCGAACACGAGGGCGCGATCGCGTCTTTCCCAACCCGCGTGTCGCCCACGTCGTCCACTTCATGCCAACGCGTGCAAAAGTTGAGGGTTTTGCAGCGGAATGCACGGGAGGTGGCGGTTGGTTCGCCGGCTTCTGAACGGAACCTCGTCAGTTTCTGTGACCAGCGGCTGTTGCGGGTGAACGGGGGTGTGTGTGTGGGGGGGTGTGGCCCTGCTGTTCTGTAAAAAAAGAAAAGAGAAAAAAGAAACCCTTCTTTTCTTTTTTTGGCCAAGCTGCTGGAACCAAGTTTCTCCTCTTCTTTTAGCAAAAAGAACAAAATGGACAGGAGCATCAGAATGTATATGAGGAACATAGGAAAAAAATATTGGTATGTTTTAAATTGGTTGGTGTGATGTTATCTGCTAGGACTCTACCATTCAGGGGATGGAGTGATCGTGAATCCAACATGTCCTTGAACTAAGAAATCTAGAAGATCAGGAAGACTCTACAAATATATAGTCTTAGCTTTGGTGCAGAGTTACTTTCTAAATATTCTTTTGCATATTTTTTTTCATCTGCTTGCAGATTATTAGAAGGCTGATATTTTAGCAAGAGATTCATGGACTGGTAGTAAGGAGGGATGAAGTGATGGAGACCCTGAGTGTTCAGGTGAACATGTCCATGGAGGAAGAGGTGATGGAGGACCCGGAGCTGAAAAACGAGAAACAGAGCACTTCCCTGGTCAAGCTCTGGGCAGACCTGGAGGCAGTGAAAGCCCCCTCTGGGGGGGGCCCTCTCCGGCAGGTGAAACGTGAACCCAAAGAGGGGCTGCAGGAGTGCTGGGAAGCCCAGTGGCAGGAGTTCCTCAGGAGCCTGCAGGGCCCTTGTTCCAACAGGGGCCACACTGAGAAGGTGGAGCCATGGGCCGACGTGAAGACCTTCCTGGCTTCCTTTGAGCAAGTTGCGTCTGCCTGCTGGTGGCCCCGGGACCAGTGGGTGACTCTTCTTGTGCCAGGACTCAGTGGAGAAATTGAGGAGGCCTTCAACAGCCTCGGCAGCCAAGAGAGAGGAGACTATGGGAAGGTAAAGGAGGCCATCTTGCGAGGGGAGGCCCTGGCCAGGGAGAGGCAGCACCAGGACTTCCGGCAGTTTTGCTACCAGGAGACAGAGGGGCCCCGGGCCATTTACGGGCATCTCCAGGAACTTTGCTGGCGGTGGCTGAAGGCTGAGAGGTGCTCGAAGGAGGAGATCCTGGAGCTGCTGATCCTGGAGCAGTTCCTGACCGTCCTGCCCACGGAGATGCAGAACTGGGTCAGGGCTCACAGCCCTGAGACTTGCACTGGGGCTGTGCTCCTGGCCGAGGAGTTCCTGTCGAAGCAGAGCTCGGTGAAACAGGAGGAAGAGGTGAGGGCTCTGGTGGTGGTCTTCAATTAGTCCTCCAGAAGGTGGAGGAGAATGAGAGTTTAATGCATTTTCCACTCTCTGCTTTTTCTGGAATTGTGAGAATCTAGTAGAGCTTGGTTGTCTGAAGGTACCCAATGTCCAAGAACAAAAGGGGAAAGTAGAGGGAGAGAAATGTCCAAAAATAGAGGTTTTCTAATTCCAAACTTTGGACCTATTAGATAAAATTAAGGAACACTTGGAGGATGATTGGTATCTTCCCCATTCTCCAAGGCTACTTCTCCACTCCTCTCTGGCCTCCTGCCTCCATTCAGAGTAAGCAAAGGGGAAATTGCTTCAATCTCCCCCCACACTGAGAGAAAGATGGGAAGCCTGACATGTGTAGGTTATCTATTCCCATCATGGCTTATGGATTTTGCTCCACTGAATAATTTTTGTGTGTGTCATTCCAGAGTCCAGGTCCTTTGGGGGGGGTGGCAATTGAGGACCCTTCCCAGGGAGGCCAATTTCCACCACTAGGTTCATGGGGATGGCAGCTGTCCAAGGAGACCAAGCTGGACATTGACAAAGACGTGGCTTCATTTGGTAAGCATGAGCTGCATTTGATTGGCCAAAGGTGTTGAACACTTTTCCTTTGATCTTTAACATCCAAACAAGAGTTGTTAATCTAGCATTGATCCTAGCGGTATAATTCTCCTTCAGGTGTGAGAGAACCAGGTTTGAATCCTGCACAAGTAGGGAGACAAATGTGCTCCATGAAGTAGGCTGGGAGATTTCCTTTATGCCCTTTTCTGACCTAGAACCTTCTGCCCGGTCTTGGTGGCAAGTCCAGGTCAAATTACATGGACTCTTGTCTAGAACAGAAGTCTAGACTCTTATCTAGAACAGTTTGTCTTACAGTCTTACAACCATTAATTGTCCTCCCATCTCAAAATATTCCTCACAGCCAGAAAGATATCATGAAGTGGAGAAGTTGTTGAACTTCACCTTCTCCATGACTTATTAGGTCAGGAATGTGCAGATTTTTCCTTTAAAACAAAGTGGTTGTGTCACATGAACCCCAACGTGAAATTTGTAGTGGAGTAGCCCACATAGTTATGAAGTATTTGATACTTAAAAACACAGGTATCCTGCGTTTACACTGTAAGCATTCAAAGAGGCTTACGTTATATAAAACCCAGTAGCAAGGAATCTCAATTAATACAGTGGCAAAAGCAAGTCTTTGTGAACTCTGTAGAAAAATCCTTAATCCTGCAGAACCTTGACCTAGAATGTGACCTCAGCTTCATCTAAAAACTTAACAACCCTCTTCCTTCCCCAAGGTGACAGTCATGGGCAGATGAACCAAGACAACCATCTTCATCAGACCACTTCTGAGGCACCAGAAGATGAGATACTAAAAAGAGACATCACAGCCCAGCCTTGCAAGGAGGAAATGAGGCCTGGGAACCAGGAGGGTCCAGAGACAAAATGGAAATCCCAAAGAAGAAGCTTGGATGAAACTGTTTCTGTTGGGAAAAGTGATTCCAATCCAGAAGAAGCCAAGACTGGCCATAAAATCTACCAGTGCCATTGTGGCAAAAGTTTCCGATGGAACTCCAATTTTCGGGTACATGAAAGAATTCACACTGGAGAGAAGCCATATAAGTGTATGGAATGTGGTATCGGTTTTCGTAAATCTGTCCAACTAAAGGCCCACAAAGCAATTCACACAGGCGAGGCCCCTTTTCGGTGTTCTATGTGTCAGAAAACCTTTACCAGCAGCTCCAACCTCATTGCCCACAAGAGGATTCATACAGGAGAGAAACCGTACAGATGCACATACTGTGGGAAAAGCTTCCGGCAAAAGGGGACACTCACGACACATGAAAAAATTCATATGGGTGAGAAGCCTTTCAAATGCTTGACGTGTGGGAAGAATTTCCGCCAGAAGGGAACTCTTACCACCCATGAAAAAATCCACTTGGGGGAGAAACCCTACAAATGTTCCAACTGTGGGAAGAATTTCCGCACCTCGACGGACCTGAGGGTTCACGAGAGGATCCACACCGGGGTGAAACCATATCAGTGTTCTGTGTGCCTGAAGAGTTTCACTGATGGGTCAAACCTCATCACCCATGAGCGAATTCACACTGGAGTGAAACCATATCGGTGTGCACATTGTGGGAAGAGCTTTTGTCAGAAGTCTGGCCTGATGACACATGAACAAGTTCATACAGGAGTACATCCATCCAGGCACTCAGCAGATCAGAAGCATTTAGGGGAGAGGTCAGATCTTAACATCCATCAGGGAGCAAAGCTGGGAGAAAGATCACAGATAAATATCATTTGGAAATAAAACTGTAACCTTGGACTCATTGAAAAATTGGATCCAAATCAAAAGAGTTTTCCTTCTAACACAGGAGAAGTCATGCTGGAGGAAAGCCATGTGTGTTAACACTGGGAAAAGGTTGAGAAGTATAGCTTCCACCATGGCCAGCTAGGGGAGTCTCCCCTTGCTTGTACATAGTGTG